TTTTGTCTTCTCTCCCTTGTCTTCCTCTTCTATGTTCCAGGTGCAAGATCTTGTCAGCATAAGTAAATTAACAAGGGTTGTGGTGATTCAAGAAACAAGGGCTTGGCCCAAAGCATTTCATGTAGGGAATGCGGGATTCTGAGTGGAAATCAGTTTTCAATTCCCTTTGTCATTTGTTTCTTCATTGTGAAATTCTAGAGGCATCAACTCGTTCCATCAAGATGACCCATCAGTTTGACTACGAATGAAGTGAGATATTTAATGTTTCCGCATAAGAAAGTTTGTAGAGTCCAGTTAGATGATATAGAGAAGAAAGGAGGAACAATAAGAAGATCTAGCCATGATGTAACTTGTTGAGGATACTCTAGGGCTTTTATTCTTTCTTTTCCTTTTTTCAAAATGGATGGTAAAGAGATGTAGGAGAAAAGTAGGGAACAGGTAAAAAAGAAATTTGAGGAAAGAAACGGTATTGAAAAGAGCGAGAGAGAGAATTTTTTTTTTTTTTTTTTGAGTTCAAGTGCGAGAGATACAACAGGTTTGGAGTGAAAATGGATTGGAGAAGATTTGTCACCTTTCGGCACGAAATCAAAAGAACAAAACACCGTTTCTTTACAAAGACAAAGTGTAGGCCCTTTCTCTACTTCACTATTAGATCCAATGTATAGAGACAAAGGATAGGCCCTTTCTCTACAAGAAGAGTTCAATATGGACGAAAGTGAGAGATTTTTAAGGATAGAAAGATATTCTTAAGCTAATAAATTTCTGAAATCAGATTTAAGCTCAAGTGGGAGAAAAGGAATTTTTGGCGATAGAAAGGGAGATTTATAGAGATTTTTTAGGGGTAAAATTACGTTGCTGGTTTCTGAAATCAGATTTGATTCCAAATGGGAGAAAATAGATTCTTATAGATAGAAATTATTTCTTTTATTAAAGTTTGAGAGAAAGAGAAGGGATTGAATAGAAAACTAGGGAGGAAAGAAATAGAAAAAGTAGGGTTTGAAGAGAGAGAGAGAGATACCGATTATGAGAGAAGAGATATAGATGTACTTAGGATAGATGAACTTAGGATTTGTAAAGTCCCTGATCTCATCTGAGGTCCTTGAATCTGACTTGAATGGTAAGTTAATAAGAAAGTAGAAGAAATGAAAGGAAGGGACGAGATTTTACATTGTGCAAGAAGAAAGGTAGAAGGAAGAAGAGGGACAACAGATTAAGGTTTGAAGAAAAAGAGTTTAAAAGATGAGTACCATGACTAGAAATACTGATATTAAACTTAGATCCTCTTGTTGTGCTTAATGAATCTCACATGGTGAAGTCAATCAACATGCAAGATGACAAAATGCAAGTAGAAAGTGATGGAGAAAGATCGACAGTCCAGGTGGAGCTAGAAGAGTCTGAAATACCAAAAAAGAAAGAATCATCCGGCTACACACCAGAACAGCAGCAACCACATGGTGAACCCTATAATCTGGCCAAAGGCAGGAAAAACATGTTCACAAAGCCCTTGCGAGATACGGCTCTGAGGACATGGTAGTTTTTGCTCTAACAGTTAGTACTGGGGAAATCGATTCTTTCAAAGATGCTCCAAATGATGTACAAAATGATAAATGGATGACAACCATAATGGAGGAGATAGAGTCTCTGAAAAAGAACAAGACTTGGGAGCTTGTCAAGAGGCCCAAAGGAACGAAAGAGATTGGGTGCAAGTAGATCTTTCGGAAAAAAAGTGACAGCAACAGAAAGGGAATGTGAGAGATTCAAGGCTAGGCTTGTAGCAAAGGGCTACGCTCAGAAGGAGGGAGTGAACTACAATGAAATATTATCTCCGGTTGTCAAGCACACTTCAATAAGGTTATTACTTGCTTTAGTAGCCATATTTGATTTGGAACTAGAACAGCTTGATGTGAAGACAACGTTTTTACATGGTGATCTAGAGAAACAAATCTTTATAGAGCAACCTGAAGGCTTCAAGGTGCATGGAAAGGAAGATCAAGTTTGCTTGCTCAAGAGATCACTTTATGGTCTTAAGCAATCTCCCAGGCAGTGGTACAAGCGCTTTGACTCTTTCATGGTGTAGATTGGCTATTCAAGAAGAAAACTCTGGGTAACTCAGAAAAGGTATGTTGAAAAGGTGCTGGAGCGTTTCAACATGGAAAATGCCAAGTTAGTTAGCACTCCATTGGCGAGTCATTTCAAGTTATCTAAATGGTAGTGTCCCACTACGAATGAGAGCAGATGTCTCTGGTGCCTTATGCTAGCACAGTCGGAAGCCTCATGTATGCTATGATTTGTAGCAGGCCGGATTTATCTCATGCTGTCAGTGTTGTTAGTCTATACATGAGTAATTCTGGCAGGAAGCATTGAATGCAATCAAGTGGATTTTCAGATATTTGAGCGAGATGTCAGATCTCGGAATTATGTTCAGCAGGAAGAGAAGCTCTACAGAACTGGTGGGATATGTCGATTCCGACTATGCCGGTGATTTAGACAAACGAAGGTCTACTACAGGGTATGTATTCACACTAGCGGGTGGACCTATTTCATGAAAGGCAATGCTTCAACCTATGATTGCCTTGTCTACGACAGAGGCAGAGTACATGGCAGCAGTTGAGGCTGCAAATGAGGCGATCTAGTCGATTGGTTTGGCTCGTGAGTTGGGGGTGGAGCAAGAAGGTACTGTGCTTCATTGTGATAGTCAGAGTGCCATAAATCTTGTAAAGAATCAAGTGTTTCATATAAAGACAAAACACATTGATGTGAGATATCACAATACCAGGGAGCTTGTGTCAAAAGGAATCATTCGCTGGAAGAAAATTCATACGAATGACAACCCTGCAGATATACTTACAAAGCAAGTCACTATGAAGAAGTTCAAGCTTTATTTGAACTTGCTTAATGTCACTCATTGTTGAGAGTGAGGGGAAGCACCCCATGGCAGGTGGACGTGTAGTCATGTACCTTTATGGAGGTATGGGGACGAAGACATCTTCAGAGTGGCTCGACAGAATTCAAAGCAAGGTGAAGATTATTGAGGATTGATGTCTTGTATTCTGAGAAAATAGATTTGCTAAGATGGAGTTAAAAGGATGACTTTAGAGGGTTGTTAAAAGCCCGAAGGGCTTGAGGCCAGGAGGAGTGTCTGGCCAGGTAGACTTGATTGACTCGGCGACTGTGGGGGTTCGGCGGAAAATTTCGGATATCCATACATGGAGATTCGATATATCTGGGATTCGATATATATCTGTACATGAGGTATTTCAGTAATTTGTACCATCTATCTGGTACTCAATATATATTGTTGCAATGGGGTTTTTTTTTTGGATTAAGGGAAAAATACAGATCTCTTTGTAATCAGAGAGAATAGAGAGGCTTGAGGAAGAGAGCTATTGTAACCCTATTCTCCATTGCCAGTAAAGAAGCTCTCATCTCCATGGACGTAAGCACATTGCCGAACCACGTATATCTTTGCGTTGTGGTTGGTTGTCTCTTTCTTCTGTGTTTGTTTCCTCTTTCTTGTTTTACGCAGATCTCTTTGTAATCAGAGAGAACAGAGAGGCATGAGGAGGAGAGTTATTGTAACCCTATTCTCCATTGCCAGTAAAGAAACTTTCATCTCCTATTGACGTAGGCACGTTGCCGAACCACGTATATCTTTGCGTTGTGGTTGGTTGTCTCTTTCTTTTGTGTTTGTTTCTTCTTTCTTGTTTCCGTGGATTGCTTTTAGGGTTTTCTACACCTCTTGCTTTGGTACCATGTGAAACTATACCAAAAGAGGAGAAGAAGATGAAGAAAAGGAACAACCGCATGGAAGAGGAGGTTGGGCCCTTGTGCTCAATTGATATGGAGATCCATATATATAAATATATATGTGTTGGGGTTAAGCGCAATCTCTTATACCCTTATATACATCATAGTTACTCATGACTCTAATTGTTTGGATGTGCTTTACTTTGGTGCTTCCACTTCCAAATTTAGCTTCTTTTTATTTTATTTTTTTTTCTTTTGATAGTCTTTCTATGATTGATCACTACGAGTTGATCGACAACTAGGACTCTTAAGGCATAGGGGCCTTTATATGATGAGTCTTAGGTTCACCATACCCCATTATTATATTCGGGGTATGCCTTGCAAATATATTCCAGAAATCATATCCATTGGTCGTGTATAGTAACACATTGTCTTCCTAGATATATAGGCTTGGCATCCGCTTAATGCTCATCTTTTGTATCACATCTTCAGGTTCTCGAGCTGATTTTCCTAGGTGCTTTTAGTCTTGTATTATGACTAAAAACACACCTAACAACCTCCTTGACCACTATGACAACTGGGGTATGGCGAGATCAGTCCCCCTGAGCACTATGTAGGCTGGGGGTTTAATGAGATTGACCTCCATGAGTACTGTGATGGGCAGAGGTTCGGCTAGATTCTTTTCAAAACAGGACCTAGCCAAATAGGGAAAGCACCACCACCATATCCCCTAGAGGCATCACTGTCCAGTGGAATCATATATGGTGATGGAGAGAGAACAGGATCCACCGGTGGGGTTAAGTGATTTATGTCGTTATTTTATGGTGGGTCCCAGTCCCCATTGCCATCCATCATTACATGGACAGTCATGGCCGTAAAGACTAATTTTTCCATGGTCCATAGAGTTATAGCATACTCTCCCAACCAATTTTCCAGACGGTACGACAAGAAATTGGACACCTTTGTTTCAGACACAGTTGTCCATGTGGAGACTGTTCATTGACAACCTAATCCCGAATAGAAACTCCAATGGATCTTGTGGAATACGATGTCATAAATCAATCTATATTTGTTGAAGACCTTCCATGCAATTTATGTCCCACTCTTAAATATTTCATCAATGTGAATAAGCAAATCTTTTGACAAATGAAATTAGTTTATACATGAAAAACTATGGCCATGACCTCTCCTTATCAGTAGGTTGATATACCCCTTGAATCTGAAGTAATTGTACACTTAGATGGACATCATACCTCTGGATGCCATTGGAAGCCAAATATTGGATATCTGTAAGCTTGAGTAGTCGAGACATAGACCTAATAAAGCAACTTATAGCATCAGTATATAAGATTCTTTACACTATTCAGTATTATACTTCAATGACATCAAAAACATTTTCTTCTTCATGGAGGCTTATTCACGTAATAATCACATGCAAGAAATGCAGCACATGAGATGCTTTAGGATTTTTCCAATACCTTTCCATTTTTATCTGCACATGTTGTCAATATCTTGAAGAAATTCGAGAGTGCATGGTTTGATTCAAATGTTTCAGGTGATACACCGAACTGTCATAGAAGTTGAATAGAGTTAGCTGGATAGAAGTGCAATTGTTCAAGTTGAATAGCGCCACAAGCATGTGCAGTGAAAACAATGATATTATAACTCTATCAGAAACTTAAAGAAGCCTAACATTAGTACCATCTAGGAGATTCTAACGTCACTTGGACACGCTTGGGAACCTCGTAATTGTTCAACTCTCCTGCTCTCAAACATAGACACGTATGGATATTCCTATGGGAAAATCATATCCTTAGCTTCTCCAATTCTCATTTCCACAATGGTCGTCAGTGGTTTATGGTTATTTAAGTGTAAGTTTAATTGGTGTTATCAGAGCCGATCCAAGACATGGAACATGAAAAGTGTCCAGTACAGTTTTTACAGAAACAAGAGAAATATAAAACATAGAAATCAAATAAACAATTAAAAAATGCTTAAATAGAAAACTATACACTTGGAATTATTAGATATTAGAGAGAAAAGAAATCAAGAGAGAGAGAGAAAAAGAGAGAGAAACTGCTTGGGATAGGAGTTCAATTAGTCCCACATCGTTCATTTTAAGTTATTTTAGGTTCTTTGTCTTCTATAAAAGTGAAACCTAATCATTTACGAAAAGTCACCTATCACTGTTTAGAAGTACTTGTATGCTTTAGTTTGTTTGACTACTAATATAGTCTAACATGCTTCTCAAAAGGGAATAACAGATCCAAAAGTGCAAACTACATTACAGAAAAAATAGAGTATGATAGCAGAGCAGTAAATTTCAAAGTAGAATGCATTTTCAGTCAACCGCTCGCTGATGACTAAAGAGAAAAAATCACAATAATGCACAACTGAGCACTTATAGGGAATAATGAGTAACAAAATAAATCAAGGGCAAATTTCAGTAATAATCTATAAATAACGGAATTTCCAATACTATTAGTAAGCTCCGCAAGATATCATGATTTCCAGCACACAGAACGTACTCGATGACTTTGCATAATAAGGCATTCTGTGCTCACTTTTTTAAGTAATTCTGAAGAAAACCTGTGCAATCAAAAAGAGATTTTATGTATTCTGGTAGAGAAAAGCCATAAGAAAACAAATTTCATTATAACTGAGAATGACTTCCAGAATAAATGAACAAAAAGAATACATAATTGATTAAAAATGAAAAAATTAAGATGTTCAGCAGTTGAGGTCCATCACATTGCCACTGCATCTACAAGCCTTTCAGATTCAAACAACACATAAGCGCAATAAGGAAATTTGGGGCCTCTGGCTATTAAGGAAACCCGGCATTGTTATTGTATCTACAAGCCAAAACCAAACAGAAGAGCCTGTGAACATAAGACCTAGACTGTAAGACTATTCAATTGGAATTAATCAAGTGATGGGGAGTTTGCAATTCCTATTCTTCGGTAGGGCAAGAGTGCCATAAATAAAACTAAGATCCAATTTATCGTTCATCTTAGATTGGAGAGTGCAATTGAAGTAAATATGTTGAATCAATTATTGATTCCGGTATGTACAATATAGAACACAAGGCACTCATAAGTCAGCACATAGGAAATATCAAACTTTCTCTTATACATGCATATGAACAAATAGTGAACTAAAATTAAGTGGAAATTCACGAGAAACAAGTTTAGATTGTGCATTATAGTGTCTATATCCATGTCAATTCCATCTTGGGGACCGATTCTCAAAATGGAGAATCAGTCTGCTTCACTAAACTAGACCAGATTTCTGAGAGGTTGGTTCAACCGACAGATACGGCCCTTGAAACACTAGGTAAAACTAACTGTATACCCTACGCCTGGTGTGGTTTGTGGGCTTTAAAGGCTTGAGATCATGTAAAAGACATTTATAGTGGATTATACACTTCAGTGGAAGTGTGTATTGTTTGATTGACCAAGGGTTAGGCGGTCTATGGCCCTAATCATGTCCAAAACCCTTACCCTGAGCATGTGGCATTGAAAAGAGTTTACAGAGGGTCATCTCTCGTTGAGGTCGAAGAGATACCCAGGATAGTTTGTAGGTCAAGAGAGTTGTGTGGTCTCCTGTGTGCGGAAGTAGGCCTATAAGAGCAAGGGCTAAATCTTCAACAAACTTCCACATGACATGTACATATGACAGTCGTATTACCAGGAAACAATCCTAAAATGGGCTACGTGTACATGTGCAAAGAGATAGACCCCCTGCATTATAGTGATAAGTGTTTGACTTGCTCTTAAAGGGATGACTATAATCTGCATTCCAAGAATGTGGTTCTGATGTTTGTTGGCCAGCTTTGATGAGCCAATCATGAACCCCTGCATGAGACTATGGGTCATGAGTTTTGTTGGGTTGGTTTAAGAAAATTGTGGATCGCAGCCACTGAATCGGGTGGAGTACCCTTATAGTCACTTGGTTTTGACCCATTAATACCAATGTAGTTTAAGATATTTTATTTTTGGTATCAAATTTGGTTATGCAGATTTTAGAATTTTTTTAGAATTTTTTATATTATTTCTTCTGTAATTTCCTTGAAAACGGGTATTATCGAAATTATATGAGTATGAAGGGCACATGGAGCCCTTGGATCCAACCCCACATATGTGCCACACACCCCACGGTGGGGCGTGGGGCCCGAATGGGCTACCCATAAGGTGGCACACCCCACATCTTTATTCTTTTAGTTCTTGTTTTAATTAAATTGTTTTTTAGTATGGTTAGCTCGATATGCTTTTAAAAAAATAAAAGGGAAGATTATATGGGCCTATTTTTGTGGAAGTTAGTTGACCAAAAGATATTATTTTGACTTCTGACAATTAGAGATAAATTAAGAAGCTCTAGAAGGTTTTTGAATTTGTTACTCCCAATTAAACTAGAAGTGGATATGGGTCAAATATTAAAAAGATAAAATTCCTAATGTGCCTCCCAAAATCATGATGGCTGATATGTAGAATGGATGACTCTAATTTCTTCTCTTGCCTAATTTCCTAATTTACTATTGGTCAAAGTGAATCATTGGATAGGTATACTTAGGGGGGTCTTGAGGCCTCTATTGGGAGTTGTACTCCCTCTCATTACATATAATTTTGGAGCCACTCTCTCTCCTCCACACCCTAATACGCTTCTTCCTCTCTCTCTCATCTCTATGCTGCCCATCTCTCTCCTCCCTCTCAACATTAGTGGCACACAACCCAGAGACAAATTAAATGGGGTGGCACGTTTAACCCAAATTAGGGTTTCGTGGAGAAAGGACTAGTCTAACCCCAGTAAAAGGCAGGTGCCTTTTTTTTTTTAGGTCAGCTTGATTTATTTTAGGACAAACTTCAAGAGTTCAAACCCTCTCTCATGCTAAGTAGGATGTGCCTAAGGTTCATTTCAAAGGTTTAAGCTTCCATGAGTTGAACACTATCGAGTAATCAAGTAGATGGCTAGTTAATGGACTCCAAAAAGAACCTATATGACCCTTTAATCATGGACACTCTATAGAGAACTTTTATGGCCGTTTTCTATAGACATCCACTCCATCCAACCTACAAGCTTACTGTTTGACTTTGGTAAAAAAAAGAACCACTGAAAATCTCAGTGTCTTCATAGCATGTTTTCCTTTACCAAAGGGCATAAAACAGTTCTTCAATAAAGAAAATAGACATTTTGTGAACTTGTTCTAGCTTCACAAGAAAGTCACAATTCTGGCTGAAAGGAACACTTCAAGCAGTGTCCCCCCTTTCAAATTACATGTTATAAATGAACACAGGTACGGAACACAAATAAATCTACATAAAGATAATCATACACGAATGTACATATGGATCTCCATAAATGAGTGCATGAGAAGATAGACAAAAACATATAATGTCAATAAGCGTCCATATTTTCCTGTGAACCAGAGGAAGAATTAGAGATAAAACAGGTCAAGGTGAACTTTCAAGATTAATATGACGATAATCAAAACCTATTTATATGAATTATCTGCCTCTCTAGAAGAACTTACCTCCGAAAGACTGTTCATCAAAAAAGACAAAACTTACCTCCGAAAGACTGTATTATTTAGCTCAATATTTTGTTTAAATTGAAGAGTAGATGGTAGATCCAATGCACTATATCTTTCAAAAATACTTCTGTCCTAAAACCACAATGCACAAATGAAACCCAAGATAGATTAGAAACAAGTTTTACATTATGTGAACAACCATTCAAATGTATGAACTTATATGAAGAAGTATTTGGTTTGAAGTAAGGAGAAAGTTTATATAAGGTTGCAATCTTAAAATGTAGAATTAAGGTGTACCTCAAAAGTCCATCATAAAAGGTTGTTTTGATGTTGGAAAACCCTCTAATTGATCATCTCGACATCTAGATGTATGAATATGAAAAGAAAAGAAGATTTCAAGTCCGAGAAATAGTGTATCTTGCAACACATTATCTGGACATCCATTTTCAAGATTTTTATGTGTTTATAGATCTACTTATTTGAACAATTTTTAGAGTTTAAAGTTTTATAATTAAATATGAAAATAGACTCTCAAGCCATCCTAAGATTATTTATACCAAAATTACATTTATGATAAAATTTAGAGGTGCTCCTTAATGGATTGTTTAAGTTTGCAACCTTATTGAAAACACACCCTTGAAGTAATCTTCATTATACATAAAAAGCTACAAGCTTATGAAGATAACATTTACATGAACACTAGGGGCCCCAATAGATATAGAATGAAATAATAATTTTGATTCATCAATAAAGAAGAGTAACTCCTACGAAAGCAATCAAGTTGCATTGGTAAGATCTGGCCACCCTTATTGGACAAAGGGCAATGGTTTACCATTTTTACAGAAAGTAAGTGTGACCGAATCAAATTCATTGTATCTCTACATTTATTAGATCATTGGCTCATAATTAATTATTTATTTATTTAGCAAGACAGAAACATCAATTTTACCTGGCTGACAATTATGCTTATTAACTCAAAGTTTAAGCAAATTGCTACCAAAGGAAAGTGATCACCAGCATCATTTCTCTCCAACACATGCTGCATAAGCACAAAAGCTCTTCATTTAGAGGGGGATATGCATGCTAACTAGAAAATATACGATTAAGATAGTTCTACAACAAGCAAGAGACAAATTATACTTGGAGGTCAGGAATACTAGAGGAAGCATAATGAAGGGGGCATCAAGCAATGTTCATGAAAAGGTCAATGTTTCTTACGCCAATGGGAACAGTCTTATACACGCACAATCTTTCTTGTTTTTATGATGCAATCCCTTTAGTTTAATCTCAAATAAACTTGGACTATCCTTTCTAATTCACCATTGTTGTTGTCAAGAAAATAAAAATAAAAAATAAATTAAAGATAGAACCAAAACATAAATGACACATATTATAACCAGAAACAAAGTTTGTACGAATGTCTAAAATTTGTACATCATGTCATATAAGGTATGAAAAGAAAATTTACCATTTATTCATCACTTTCTTGCCCAATAACAGATTAAACATTGTCTACTTTTGTAGCACTTTTTACATACAGCACAAGTGAAATTGAGTGATATTTTTAACAGATCTACAGACTAAGTTAGCAGCCCCCACGAAACATTTACAAATACCAAGGAAAAATATAATGCATGGGGCATGTGGCTTGTAATAATGTGAGCACAAAATACATGTGACTATAATTAATGTTTAAAAACTCGACCGAGTTACTTGGCCTCAGCAAGTTGCTGAGGTGAGTTCACTCATACAAACCCGAGTACATGGGAACATGTCCTTGGGCAAGTACTGTATGAAACAGGGCAAGTAGTTTACAGACTCACTCAAGCACTGTAGATGAAAAAACTCAAGAATCGAGATTCCTATGTTTTGGGAATTGGGATCCCAATAGATTAAAAGCGGGCAAGTAATTATCAAAGAACAAGTTCCATATGGGGCAAAGGTTCGAGGTCCTAGTGTATTTTAACCATGAATCCCTTAGTAGTAGAATCGATATATTGAGCAATGCATAGCCAGGGTTCCCTTAGTATTGGATTCAAGATCCTCGACTACCCTAAATAAGGGTTCCCCTGTTGGAATTGGTGTATTGAATGCCCTCAATTACAGTTCCCCACAAGAATTGGAATCCAGGTCATCGAGTGCCCTTAATTGGAGTTCTGTAAGTACAAGAGTTGAGGTTTACTGGAGTTTCTACATCAAATAAAGAAAGTAAAATTATTTTATTTATTAATAATTAATTTAAAAATGAGAAATTCATTTTGAGTTCTACACATTAACAATGACCACAAGTAGAGCTTCTAGACATTCATCCTAATGTTAAGTAGAGTTTCTAGAAACTCATCCTTGTTGAATAAAAAAATTACAATTTACATATTAATGTTTTAAATAATGTCTGAAAGATTCCAAGCATTCCATTATATTTTTGCAACCATTCTACAACAAGGGAATAATAAAGTTTATCTTGAACCCAAAACTTGTTAAAGCAGGTTAGCATGGTCCACTAGGAAATTCATGTTTGGATTCCAAATATTATTTTGGATCAGTATTACTGAAAATTGGAAGCAAGATTCCAAGTCGAAGGAATCACGGTTTAGTGCACCTATGAACCATGGGATTCGATATTGTGGAATCTGGACTCCAAACAACTCAGTTGGAGATTCCTAAATTTAAAGAACCTGATTCTATGAAGATTCGTTTGTCAAAGGGCCAAAACGAGATTCCAAACCGGATTCATCACCCGAGGTGAAAGATTCCTATAACTATGGTATTATCAATTGTTATTGTATTATTGGCAGTATTCATGCGTTTTGTTGCAGTTTTTGTTGCATTTTAGCAAAAACAAATATTGGTTATACCTTTTCTCAATTTCCTTGTACTCAACGATACATTTTAATCATTAGAGTGTTACAAATTTTAGTTTTGGCGTTTTATATAATGTTATAACATTGATAATATCGGTTTCATATAATTATATATGCATTTAGCTCGCTTTCTTTATGTTGGAAGTAAAAATTTTATCTCAAAATAACAAGCATTTCAAAGCCATCGATTTTTTTTATGCATACTCAATGGTTTGTTAAAACTCAATTTCGGGAATTACATTTTTTTTTCTATTGCTGTTGCATCTAGGACCTATTATTCGCATTTAAGAATTCTTCTTCGAGTAAAAGGAACTAATTTTTGGCTAATGTGATCTTTGTTCTGTAATATGGACTATTTGTACTGCATCTAGGATCTGTTTTTGGGTAGAAGAAACCAAGTTTTTTAATAATATGAATTACCTCTTTTTATGTTATTCTATATTGCTTCTTAACTAATATATTTTGCTAGTAGGAAATAATTTATTATAGTCGGATATATCCTTTACAAAATCATAGAACTACTTTGCTTTGCACTTAGGGACTATTTTGGTACTATTGTTTTATTAGGAAGAACTTTGCCCTAATAGAAATATATTTGCTATAATAATTAAATGGGTGAGTTGTTTAATCATTTATGCAACTTGCTTCTATGGGTTTAGAAGATGATGGGAAAAGATCCAGCATGGGAGTAGGAGGAGAAATTGACTAAGAAGGGGAAGGGATGGGTGAGGTATAATTTTAGTGAGAGGGATATGACAAGTAGAATTAACCACCAAAACCATCATCACACAAAAATCAGGAGTGATGTCCAGACATGTAGGAAGGGGCAAACGGCATTTAAAGAGCATATTCAGAAATCATTAGAGATAGCAAAGGAGAGAAGGTCCAAAGGCTGAGGGTGATTGAGTGAATACTATGCACTTAATAGAGAGGATGAGGATGTGGAGTTTTTGGCCCAAATGGAGCAGGCAAGGAGGGCCAATCTAGCAGAAATGTATGAACCACATAATAGACAGATGCAGATTGATGATATGTATGCTAAATGAGCGGGAGTCTCTATTTAAAGTTATGGTTCTTTCTGTTGTACCCTAAGAACTTATTTGTCTTTTCCCTTAAGGCCATTATTCTAGGATTGTAAAATTAATACTATACATAATGGAAGAGGGACATGTGAGTGTTAGAAACCCAACGCAATGTGAGACTCTCTTTTTCTCTGCCTTAACCTCTTTTTTCCTCTCAGGATATTCTTCTCCCTCATTCTCTTTCTCCTCTTTTTCTCCTTGATTGCTACTATACATTTTGATTTGGTATCAGAGCAAGAAGACTTCAACATTTTTTTTGAAACCCTAATGATGTGATCTGACAATGTACAAGCAGAAGCCCTAAACCTGAAAAATAGGTATGGAATGTAAAACTGTGATTCCACAGTTGCTTTCTAATCTTATTCAAGTTCTTGATAATGGGTTAAAAACCTAGATCTAGTTGGGATGATTCGATCATGTTTAAGTTCATTATCCCTTAAATGTGTGGCAACCCTTGTCTTTGAATTGTGAGACTCATTCATTATCGAGATCTCATGTATGGAAGGTCTTGGATGTGGAAGGGAATTTGAATGGCTGCTTATGTTGATCAACATGTTTTCTTGGTGTGTACGACTTGTTTCGTCGTCGACATGTCCAGCATTAGTTATTTAAAGCTCTCTTCTATCAGCTCTAGTACTCCACGGGGAGCCTCCCATACAGGCATCTATGAGGATAACCCCATACTGCAGATTACGACTATCAAACTTGATGGGACAAATGATTTAAAGTGGTCACAGCCTACTAAAATATTCATTGGTGGAAGGGGGAAATTCGGGTACATCAATGACAAGATTATTGAACAAAAACAAATCCCTAACATGAGAAGTGGGAAACTGAGAACCTGATCATAATGTCTTAGTTATTACACTCCATGCAACCATCAATTAGTAAGGGCTTCTTGTTCCTTCGGACTGTGTGAGAGTTTGGGTCTCAGTATACAAAACTTACTCCTCAAGCAAAATTGTGGCTCAAGTGTACCAACTGAGAGAGGAAATTTCTTGCCTTCGAGAAGGGGAGATTCTCTTACTACATATTTCTCCTTATTATATAGCATGTAGGAGAAGTTGGCCCACTATTAATTGTTTAAACCAGCTTGTAAGGAAGAGGGGAGAAATACAAGCAGCTTCCAGAACAAAATCATATGTTTTAGTCCTTATAAGGATTGCACCCTAACTTTTAGTTAGCTTGGGTTCAAATACTCAATTGGGATGCTCTTTCATCGCTCAACCAAGCATATTCCTTTGTATGAAGTGAGGAGAGTAGACAAAGTGCCATGCATCCGGCTCAAGTAATTGATCGTTCTACCCTTGCCTCAACCTCATTAACTCCTAAGAACAATAAGGGCATGGGCCTCAAAAATTTCGAAAATGGAGTCCCAATCAAGGAGAAAAGTAAGTTACAATGTGATCATTATGGGATAAATGGTCATATTAAAGAAACTTGTTAGGATCTAGTTTTGTGGCCTTTAAAGGCTGTGAGAGCATGTAAATAAGAATTATAGTAGATTATACACTTTAATGGGAGTGTGTCCATTAGTTAACTCACCTAGGTTTAGGTGGGCTATAATCCTAGTCATTTCCAAAACCCGTACCCCTGGCATATAGAACTACCGAAAATGGTTTCCAAAAGGTCATCCCTTGTTGAGGTTGGAAAGATACCCAAGAATGGTTTGTAGGTCAGGAGCACTTTGTGGTCTCCTATATGCGGATGTAGGCTTGTCATAGCGACGGTTAATCCCCAACAAATTTCTTCACAACATGTGTACATGAAAGTTGCATTTCAAGGAAACAACTCTGAAAAGGGATATGTATACATGTGCATGGAGAGTCCCCTTACACCATAGTGATATGTGTCTGACTTGCTCTTAAGGGGGAGAACCTCTAATCTGCATTCTGGAACTGTAGTTCCACTATTTATTGGCTAACTTTGACGAGCCAATCATGAGCCCCTGCATGAGACTATAGCTCATGGTTCCTGTCGGCCTGGTTTGAGAAGATAGTCGAGGATCACAATTGCTAAATCAGGAGGAGTGCCTTAATGGTAACTTTTCTTAACCGATTAGTACCAGTCCACTTCATAATATATTGTTTTCAGTGTAGTGTCATGACAGTAATTTCTTAACCCATTACTAGATCAGGTTTTAAAATCATTTTTAGTATGTAAAAACCTTAAAATAGCATTTCTTAAATTTTGGAACTGTGGAAGTAGAGTGGAACACGTGGGGGCCTTTGTATCCAGCCCACTTGCGTGCCACACCACATGGATAGGGCGTTAAACCCATGCGGCCCACACCTCACATATGGAGGTGGCACACCCCCCTACTCTCATTTTTTTGTTTTAAAAGATAAATAGAAGGTGTTTTTCTTGGTTGGTTAGAAAATATTTTGAAAAAAATTGTCTTCATTCTGTGGGAGTTAATTTTTTAATAGATCTTTGACGAAAGTTTTTTATTTTTTCTCTAAATTCCTACAATCTTAAGATATATGGGAATTTTAAAAGATTTAAGTTTAAATTGGTTTTATCCTCGTTATATGTGGTTAAATATCCAGGGGATAAGTTTCCTAAATTCCTCCTTAGATCAGGATGGTTGATTTCATGGGACGGATGGCTTAGATTTAATCCTCTCACCTCACATATTCTACAAAATCCTATTAGTCATGATGAATCACAATTATGGATAGGCATATCTAGGGCACTTGAGGCCCATATGAGGGGACCCTTTTTTTCCAACACAATTGTTTTCTAGCCTCTCTATCTATTCCTTCTCTCTCCTCTACTCCCTCGGTTTCTCTCTATCTCTCTCTCTTCTCTCTAGGTGGTACGCTGCACCCATAAGTTTCTAGGGGTGGCACGCACCACCCTTTAGATAGAGAGAAAGGAGGAACACCCAGCCCTACTCTAGGATAAGGGAAGGTACCACACAATAGCATGCCCCAAAGGTCCAAAACGAGGCTTGAAACCCCAATTTATGCCCTCAAACCCATAGATTTGTGAGGTATTGCCAAAGAAAGCTTCCCAATCCAGAAAATTCAGCAAGGCTAATAAGATCAGAGTGCTCCACCGATCAGAAAATTCAATCATGGATTGTGTCTATTCCTTTGACAGTAAAAAGAAAAATCCTAGGTTGTATTTAGGGTTTTATTTCTTGTTTACAGCAGTGTTATGTAGCACTTGTAATTGGAATCCAGCACATAGCCACTTCTTTCAACTTCAATAGTCCAGGAAAGTTTAGTGCTCAGAATGCTTCATCCATTAGGGGTCAGCTATTGTTAGTATTGATCAACCCTTACCCAATACAATCTAGCCTCTAAGTTCTGAGCCAAAGGAGATGATATCAATTCTTAAAGTGGAGATTTAGAGCCTTTGCCTGTTGTTCGCTCAATTCGATGACCCATCCACCAGTACTACTTCATCTTTTACAGACTCAAGTATTCATGCTTCAATTTTCATCATGTCTCTTACTCCGTCTGGACAATCCTAGATTATTGATTCTGGAGCCCCAAATCACATGACTAATATGTCTTCCTTCTTTTCTTCTAATTCCCTTTGTTACGGGAGGGAAAAAGTTCAGATTGCTAATGAATCATTTTTTTCTATCACTAGAAAAGGAACTATAAATATTTTTTTCTCAAATGTCATTGTCACCAATTCTTTGTTCGTCATGTTCCCAACTTTGTTACAAGCTTAATGTTTATCAGATGCATTACCAAGAGTACAAATTCTAGTGTAACCGCCATTCCTTCCCACTATATTTTTTAGTGTATGAATACAAGGAAGACGACTGGCAGTGGTCATGAAGATAGTGGCCTCTACATTCTAAATGCGGCAACAACTACTTCTCAAGTCCTTCAACCCGACACCAGTGTCAATACAACTTGGATTCAGCAGTGGCATTTCTAATTTGGTCATTTAGAAGTACCTTAGAAATTATTATCAATATCTTGGGGTCAATAATCCATGTATTGGGAAATTGCAGAGGATGTCGTGCATAGAATTTGATCTAGGTGGATGAAACGGAGATGCGCTTCCAAAGTCCTATGTGCTTCCAGAGTCTTATGTTCTTCCAGTGTCTTATGTGTTTATCGCATATGAAACTAAAAGGGAAGTCCTATAGGACGATTGCAAGACCAACCATGCTTTATGGGACAGAATATTAGACGGTCAAGAAACAACCCATAGCATGAGTGTAGTTGAAATGAGAATGGTCAGATGGGTGATTGTCTTTTCAGACGTCTTTCTTTGATTTATTTTTCATTTATTTTTCTTTTAATAATCCTCCTCATGATTACTCATGTTATCAAATGAGGATGGAGAGGTAGGGAATGCTAATGAAATATAGAAAGTAATGGAAAAGATGCTCACATCTAAAAAAGGGAGGTCAATTACTATTTCACATATGATCAAAGAAGCTCATGGTCAGGTAAACTCGACTTCATTGGAGTATGATGAAAATATCCATTCATTGGAACAAAAATTCTATTTCCCTGCTATGACATTGCTCATTCAGAAATGCAAAAAAAAATTCTCCCACCTCATGTCATGGTCTTCACATGAAAAGCTAACATCTCAAACAGAGTTAAACGAACTGCTGAGAAATAAGATGCATGACATATGAATAGCACCAAGTCTCATGCTAAAAAACAAGATGTATTATTAATTCACTGCAGGCCATGAAACAAATTAACACATTAACTTCCACAAATCAACAAATAACATCCAATGTTCAAAGTCGATCCAGGATGAATTGGTAAGTCTAATTATGTGTCAGAAAGGTGGATTAATCAAAATTTCAAAATAAACATTATAAAAGGAAAATGCATATTAGGTCAAAGCAAAGTAAATAGATGTCTATGTAAAAAAGAAAAAATAAAACAATTAAGGAGTAGGGCAAACTCAAATTTGAGGAAAACAAAAGACAAAAAAGAAATGGGGAGATGCCATAGGATTACCACCCCAAAGACAATATTGAAGTTGATTAGAAACAAGAAACAACGAAGGATAAAATTTAACAGGAATTATTTAAAGAATTAATATCCACACATAAGCGAATGATTAGACTCTGATATTAAAATATATAGAGTGGGACCTAATAAATCGTTGTAAGAAGAACTGAAATATTAAAAAGCTATAATATGACAATAAATTGCTGAAGATTAAACTAACTACTCTTCTCATAGCACATGAATGTGTAAAGTTACCTTGAAGATCATCTCAACTGTATCATAGTATAAACCTCGTTTACACCATCCTCCGGTTAAAAGCATACCATTGACCAAATTGAGTTTCTGTAAGGATAACATGTCAATTTGTTTGTAAACTTGTACTACTTCACAATGTATTTGGAAGTAGTTATAGCTAGATTTATGGTAGCGGACCCAAATAATATGAGAAGAGACCCTTGACGAAGATGATGATAGATTCAATAGATCTATAGTAAGAGAAGTCCTAGGATTGAATAAATGAACTGATTTTTTTTTTTTTAACTATCGATAAAGGAAATGGGTTGTGTTAAGCAGGCAAGCAACATACTAAAACTTTCCATAAATCCCAAATCCAGTTATCTGCTTCCCTTGAGAGTGCAGAATGGCAGATCAAGACTCGTACTGCCAACTCCAAATAGTTTGGAAAAAGGCTATGATGATAATGATGATCTTTTTATTGGAACTATTCCAGCTCAAGATCATATATTATTTTGTGAGTATTTTCCAATTAAACCAAAAGATATATGTAAAGTATTAAATTGTTAATCTTTTATGGGTAAGTTGATAAATTTCCTTAGCAAAAACAGATATGGACTTTGAAGAGTTACCCTTGAATTTAAAGAAGAAAGGTAGGAGCATAAGAGTAAAATAAAATAAAAAAAGAAAAAGGTCTAGTTGCTGGACTTTCTTTTTCTAAATAAAAGGTTATTGGAACTCGAGAATTCTACAAAGCAACTCAAGATCGAGTTCATGATTGGATAGACAATAAACTAGATACCAACAGGAGTGACAAATATTCACCTTAAATTTTAGAATTAAGGCGCACCTCAAAAATCCATCGGAAAAGGCTATTTGATGTTGAAACGCCATCTAATTGATCATCTTCACATCAAGATGTATGGATTTGAAAAAATAAAAAATAAAAAGATTTCAAGTCCCAAAAATAGTACATCTTGCAAGAAATTATCTAGACCCCCCATTTTCAAGATTTTCATGTGTTTAAAGTTTAAAATTATATAATTAGAGATAAAAATAGATTATTGGGCTATCCTAAAAATTTCCAACACCAAAACTGCATCTTATGACAAATTTCAGAGATGCGCCTTACTTTGATTGTTTAAGGTTGCAGCTTTACGCAAACCTCAACCTTCTTTTAATCCTAGCTCAACCCTCCTCTTCTCTCCCTTGATTTGAAAGTAGCAAATGTGGGTGCTCTAATGTTTAAACGGGTTAATCAAGGGATTTTTTAAATTTTTTGATAAAATATCAATAAAATAGTCAAACAACCTCAAAACAATTTAATTTATGCTACTTATAAGAAACTATTTCAATTTATGCTCGTTATTTATTTTGTTTGAAAAATTATGCATGTTCCATGCCACTTTGAAACCTTGAACAAGTGAAGGTATTTTGATAATTTAACTATTTAATTTTCTCAAACGAAGTGACCAAAATAAACACCAAACTTGGAAAACATTTTTATTAACTAATCATGTTTGGGTGTTGCAACATATAACAAACACGTTAATTACATAAAAAAGTGGACCCAAATACAAAATGTCCTAGTCTGAAATAAGATTTTTTTAATTAGAAAAAATAAAACCCAATTTAAGCATGGAAATAAGGACAATTTGAGTAATTTCTAACATAATCATTGAAGAAGTACTCAAATAAAAGTGAATTTTACATTTAGAAACTAAATATTTCACACGGACGCAAGGCCCTTTTTCATAATTTTTAATTTTCTATTTTACAGGCAGTTGAGACATTATGTCTATATTTCTTTTTAAATTTTTTCCTTTTTGTTAGAAACCTGATGAAAACATTAGATGTCCAACCTGTTCTCTTTTTATAACTAGGACAGCCGGACATCTAATGTCCAAAAGCGCTCTTTCCTTTAGGCACGTTTGGTTCACGTGAAATTGTTTTCTAGAAAACATTTTCACATGAAAAGTAAGTGGCGTTCGAGCACAAAAGAGGGGTTCGAACGCCAATGGTGTAATTTCTTTGGTGAAATTGTGATGCCCACCTAAATAAAAAAACATTTCAGACATCCAATATCTAAACCGCTTTTTAATTAAAAAAAATTATCAAAATTTATCTGAACCACTTTTTCATTAGAAAATTATCAAAATTTATTAAAATTCACGCAAGAGATAAACTATCTAACATTTTACCCACTAAAAAAAAACCATCAAATTATATATGATCATAAATTGGAATAGTTCAGAATTGGTAAAATTTAGATAGTTGATATATTAAGAATATTTTGATAAATTTCCCATAAAAAACAAAACAAGTTGTTGGTCTGAACTGAGGGTGAAATGAGAAATAAAGAAACACCACAAAATGGGCACTAAGCAAATATCCGTAACTTGCTTGGGGCTTCTTTATTCCAATGTCTGATGTCTCTAGGAGATGCGGTAATTTTCCCAAAATTAAAAGATCTTTTAAAAATAATAGTAAAAGTATTTATTTAACGACCTCGTTGATGTGTTGTTGGCTTGGCCTTGGCACAATGGGATAGCCTTCAAACGCCTTGGTGGTCAAGCTTGGCTGCTCACCAAGGCCAAGTCCATTTTATAGACTTTTCGAGAAGGACATGGTTTCTATGCGACCAGCCTGACCATTGTAGAAATGCAGGCTTGGCAATAAATATTTTTTTTAAAATATAATTCGATCTTAACGTTTAGAGAATATATAATCTTTAAAATGGAGATCGTGAATATGAAAATAAAATAAAATTTTGAAAACTAAAACTAATAATTATATTAAAAAACATTTGGACCATCAGTTACAATTGTTTTTAGATGGACCACCTATTTGCATCCATCTTTTAGATAGATGCTTTATACTTCTGGACAATATATTGTAGAAATGCGGTCCAGCTCGCATGAAACAATTTTCCTTTAGAAAATATCCCAAACCATAAACTAGTTTCCTTTTTTACTTTTTTTAACCTGTTTTAACTTTTTAAAATTGCTCCAAGTTTCAATTTACTTCGAATAGAAATTTTTTTTTTTTCAAAACTTCTTTTTTAAATAAATAAATTAGAACCAAAAGGCCCATGCTCGAGCCGAGTAACTCGCCCCAAGGGCGCAAGTACCCTGAAGACAGTCCTAGAACAGTGTGCTTTCCAGCCTATAAGGCATAAAAAGCAATGGTGGTGTATACAGTACATGGTACACCATAGGACAGACACAGATGAAGGGGGTACGTTAATTATATGACCATCCACCCTTCATAAGAGTATGCGTTAATATTCACCACCACTCTAAAACAAAATGTGGCCACAGTACAACTGCAACACATTATACATCAACAGTGCATCTTAAATTCCCCCGTACACCGCAGACCTACCACATGCTATTGGTAAGAGAAAAAAAAAAGGATGAATTTTCTATAAGGCTTAGGCTTTTTGGAAACAAAAAAAAAGCCTAGACGTAAATGCTTGTCTAGAAAGCACTTTCGGCAACAGAAATCTGCATGATGGATCAAAATCGATTTTCAAAACCAATAATAAATTTGAAACTCAAAAAAAAGAGATAGATCTTACGGATCTATAAACACCTAAATTTAGGGTGAAATGGATGATCTACATAATTTGTTATAATATACGATTTTTAGAGCTCAAAATAGTTTTCTTTTATTATAACTATATGTTCAAGCCGAGATGATCGATGTAACGGTTTTCCAATGCTTGAATTGTAATTTTTGATGAATCATGAGGTGATGCTTTATTTATTTTGATATGGCTGCAGCTCTATCAAATCATTTTCCGAAAAAAAAAAGAAAATGAGAATGAATTGCTATTGGCAGATATCGATATGCTATTGCCAATGGAACCCAGCCCTGGGCCGGGATGGGTAACCTAGATCGGGTCCAGGTAACGCAGCCCAGGTCAGGTATGTCCTGGCCATAGTTAGCAAGTCGGGGACTATCAATAAATCGGCTTACAATAAAATCGGGAAAAAATTGTTTTTATTTTAAAAAATTGGATAAAATGGATCGGCAAAAATATTTTATGTAAAGATAGCGCCAATATATCGGACTAGGCTCAAAAAATCAGAGTAAAAAATTTGGATAAGTTAAATACTTTAGCAAATATCACACCTACTTAAGTACACCCAAAAATAAAACAATTTTTTTATCAATAAATAGCTTTAACTATATGGTATAGCTACTTTAACTATGGTTAATGATTAGGGTATAGCTAAACTATGAAATAGCTACTTTATAGTTTATATAGGTCCTCTCATTCTATCTCTTCGAGAAAGAAGCCTTGTTAAAGGGGATCGCAGGCTTTGTTAAAATAGGGGCTCAATAACAACGTAGCATCGATCACCAGCTCCAGACCATGAATTAGCGACTTCAAGGAATAAAGCAAAGCCAGCAACAAATGGATACTGAAGTAATCACATAAATCTGGTTTTTGCATCTATATGATTTTATTTACTCTGCATCTATATGATTTTCTTCACACAATAATATTCTTTACACAATGCTTTGCAAGTAAACAGTATTTTTTTTGCACAATAACTATCAGTTGGAGACCATGAATCAGCGACTTCAAGGAATAGAGCAAAGCAAGCAACAAATGGCAACTGAAATAATCACATAAATCTGGTTTTTGCATCTATATGATTTTATTTACTCTGCATCTATATGATTTTCTTCACACAATAATTTCTTTTACACAATGATTTGCAAGTAAACAATATTTTCTTTGCACAATAACTACCTGCTCCAGACCATGCATCAGCGACTTCAAGGAATAGAGCAAAGTCAGCAACAAATGGCGACTGAAACAATCTAATAAATCTGGTTTTTACATCTATATGATTTTCTTTACTCTGCATTTATATGATTTTTTTCATACAATAATTTCCTTTACACAATGATTTGCAAGTAAACAGTATTTTCTTTACATAATAACTACTGAAATTTGCATCGACATGTTTAAATTAAAAAGAAAAAAAAAATATCATACCTTCAATCTGAAAATGCGGTTGTGAAGAAGAAAAAGAACATAGCATAAACCCTAAAATAATAAACCCTAAATCCTAACAATACATAAATCCATTTGAGATAAATTTTTTATGTGGAAATAATGTTTTTTTAGAAATTACACATATTAGGAAAAAAGTTGTTTCTCCTTAAAAAATATTACAAGTAAAAAAAAAATTATTTTTTTGGTCCCTTTTTTTTGTTCTTCATAAAACCACGTTTGTAAAGGTATTATGAAAATAACACGTTGTCAAAACACGGCGTTTAAAACGTTTTTAAAAAAAGCTCCGATTTTTTGAAAAAGTCGACGATTAGTTGTGGATTTGCTAACTATGGTCCTGGCTAGGCCAAAAACCTGTTAGAAAAATAAAATATAAAAAATCTCAAAATATATGACAATTATGTTTAAAATAAAATTAAACAAAACACATCTAAATGTGGTTAAAATATTAGTGAAAAAATAATTTTGAATAATCAATTTGTGACCAAGAATATTTTAGAAATAATCCAAAAAAGAAAAAAATACATAAAAATAAGTATTCATAGTTAAAACACTCTCCAAAAACACTTACCAATCAATTTGTGACTAGATATTTTAGAAATAATCTAAAAAATAATAAAATATAAAAATAAGTTAAAATACTTTCCAATGTTTGCCAAAATATTAGAAAAACATAAAAAACACACTAAAATAATATCTTATTTTTTTCAATTTTAAACCTTTTTTTCCTTTTTTTTTCAAAAATCCCCAGCTTGACTACCAACATCGGGTCCTCCAATGAGTCGGTCCGGATCATTGTTAGCAAATCAGCAACTAATAATCCAGACTTTTTCAAAAAATCGGAGTTGTTTTTAAAAACGTTTTAAACGCTGTTTTCTTTTAAAGTTCATCAAAAAACACTTTTTTCGTAATACCGTTAAAAACTTGTTTTTACGAAGAATGAAGAAAAGACCAAAGAAACGCTTATTTTTATTTTTTTACTTGTAAAATTTTTTAGAAAGAGAAACAACTTTTTCTAAATATGTGTAATTTCTAAAAAAAACATATTATTGCTACAAAAACATACGAAAATGAAAATTTTTATCCCAATGGATTCATGTATTGTTAGGATTTAGGTTTATTATCTTAGGTTTTATACTATGTTCTTCTTTTTCATTTACAAATTGAAGGTACGATTTTTTTTTTTTTTCTTTTTAATTTAAACTTATCGATGCAGATTTAAGTAGTTATTGAATAAAGAAAACATTATTTACTTACAAATCATTGTGTAAAGAAAATTATTGTATGAAAAAAATCATATAGATGCGGAATAAAAAAAAAATCATATAGACGCAAAAACCAGATTTATATGATTATATCAATAGTCATTTCTTACTCACTTTCCTCCATTATTTAAAGTCACTTATTTATGCCCAATGCTATGTTGTTGGCCGTTGTTGAGCAAATGCCCTTATTCCCCTATTTTATCAAGCCTTGCGATCCCTTTTAACAAGCCTGAGATCTTCTTTAACAAGCCCTGCTAAACAGGATCGTGTATATAAATTATAAAGTAAGTATATCATAGTTACCTATATCCTAATCATTAATCATAGTTAAAGTAGTTATACATAGATAAAGTATTTAGTGATAAAAAAACTCGTGTCTTTTATTTGGGTGCACTTAAGTAGGTATGATATTTGTAAAGCATTTAACTTGTTCGATTTTTTTATTCCGATTTTTTGAGTTTAGTCCCGGCGATATCTTTATCTAAAGTAGTTTTGCCTATCCGAATTTTTTATTTGATTTTTTGATCCGATTTTTAAAATAAAAATACTTTTTATTTTATTTTATTGGAAGCCAATTTACTACTAGCTCCCGACTTACTGACTATGGTCGGGATAACCCTGCAGGGTCGACCCGGCGGGTTTTGCCATCAATGATTACCACCCAAAATAGGCGTGAGAAAAAACTGGGTGCTTGTGTTAAAATGATGGTCATTAAAAGCAATGCCATAAACAATAAATTATCAGAAAATAAAATGTTTTTCTTTTAGTTTTTAAAAGCAATGCCATGAACAATCAATTATCAGAAAATAAAATGTTTTACTGTTAGAGCCCATCCCTACCTCTAAAAGGACCTCACGGCGCTCGTTGTAAATGAGGGGAATCACACGAGCACCTGCCGCCTCACAAAACTTGACATATGACGCCGCGATATAGGACACATGCGAACCGTTCATCAGCCTTCCGCTCGCACCGTCGCCGGGATGTGTCAGGATTCCGATCACAGGCTGATAATACAGCGCCGGATCCGGCGCCGGACAACTCTGAATTTCGGCAGATTTGGCGGAGACTTCTGCCGGAATTTCACCATCAGAATCGGAGGGGAGGAGAAGGCACTGTGCGTTTGCGTTGATAGCCGTTCGATTTGAGGAAGAAAAGAGGAGATTGACGCAGAGGAAGTTCCATAAGTCAGAGGATGAGAGCCTTAAGCACCCATTATCGTGCTGCATGATTTTGGTTTGTTGATCTCGGGGTAGTAATGGACGGCGGATATTTGAGGCGTCAGCCATTCTCTGTAGAATCGACGGTTGCGAAGGAGGCTGATTAGGCCCTTTCTTTCTCCTGTTGCACAGGTCGAGGGCTCTGTGCAAGAGGCACTTTGAGACTTGAAAACATTATGGTTTTGCCGCTGGGTTTTATTTTCCCTTTTATTTGTGACTTATCGGACATTTGGTTGGTGAAAAGAAAACTGGTGGGATAGTATTTTGCCATAAAATGGTGCACCTTGTATCAAAACAAAACACCACCTCAACCCATAAGGAAGTACTTCTCGGGTTTTATTTTGACCCACTAATTCACTATATATTATTTATATTATAATATTTATATTTATTTAATATATAAATTCTATTTAAGCAATATTTAATATGTAATATAAACACAATATTTTATATTAAACAGTATATTAGTTTATATTGCACTATATTATATAACATATTAGTAAAATATAATATATAATATTAGTATAAAATAACATTATATAATATTTATTGTATTACTTTATAATATAATATAATATATGAACTATTATATAATATGTATTTATTATATTATTTATAATATATAATATTTTCCAATTAGTTGGAAAAAAGTTTTAACGATGATCTAATGTTGAGAATTTACCAGGTTTGGATTCGAAACCCAAATTTCAGACCTTATCCGTATCCTAGTACAGATCCAAGATCATGTCGGACCCAGATCCAAAATTTGAATCCAAGTAGTACTTCGAACAAGATCTGAGTATAGGTGGATCTAATCCAAATCTGACAGAATTATTTAAACACTATATGTTATTTTTTATATATACATATACATTACATAGTATTTTTTGTTATGTATTATGTTACATTAAATAGATATAAAATAATATAGAAATTTTTTTTTTTGGATCCAGATCTGGATCCAAATCCCTTATAATACTTTTTAGATATAGATCGAAATATCCTAGATCCAGATCTAGATCTGAGTCCCATGCACACCTTTTCAAATCCGAATCCAAATCCCGTGGATTCAAACCCGATCCGACCATTACGATGATAATATAAATAAAATATTGAAATGGGACCCACACTACCTGAAAACAATTTGTTCCGGACTTATTCCCATCCCTATTGGGAGTCCAAATTGGAAATTGCTGGATTTTAAAATACCGGCGGACTTATTCCCAACCTTATTGGGAGTCCAAATTGGAAATTGCTGGATTTTAAGATACCGGGTCTATCTATGATGCATACAAAACCATTGTAGTCTTGGAATCAGTAGTCATGATCATACCATTTGTGGCAGATACCCATATAATGGTATCCGATACGGGCCAGGATGCAATTCATTCGTGCAGATGGTGGGCCACGCGTGAAGTGCATGTGACCTCACGGGCCCAATAAAATAAATATTCATATTTCCAGGTCCAACCGGTGACACATAATTTTTTTAAGGTTAAAATAATTCCTATTTTCATCTCAACAGCAATAATAGACGGGTGCAGGTAGCATACGAATGCATCCGTAGCGGTTGAGGTAAGGTGAACCTTCAAATTTTATCATGGTATCTAATTTTGATGTAAAATGTTCTTAAGATCATCTCAAAATCTATTTCTATATCTAATTATAAAATTTTAAATTTAAAAAATGGTTAAAATCAAGTAGATCTATAAACATATGAAAATCTTGAAAATTGACGGTGTAGATAATATGTTGTAAAATGCACTATTTATGAAATTTAAAATCTTTTTATTTTTCATGGTCATACACCTCGATGTCGAGATGATCAATCAAAGGGTTTTTAAACATTAAAACTATCTTTTTCGATATATTTTTGAGGTGCATCCGTAGTTGTAGAGATAAGGTTGCATCCTTATATAAACTTTTTACATAATTAGATAGACTGTATATATATATATATATGGACAAATGCTAGAAAAACCAAGACTGCACATGGTTTCCTATCTTTGAACTTCCATTGTGCACAAAAGGCATGTTTGGTTGGTGTGAAAATATCTTTTAAGAAATAAATATATTCACGTGAAAAAAAACTTCATTTTGTTAGAAATGGGAAGATTTTTACTCGTGTCAACAAGCATGTCTAAACAATTTCAGATAGCAAAGACAAATGTCCTCATATTTTACCTTCAATTCCCACCATTCTCCATTAAATGACTATGGACAGCATGGTCAGGAATAACCATGGTTGCTCTTATTTTGTAAAAGATAAAAATCATGGCTTGAAAAAATATAAAAAGGAAAAAAAAACAGTACACAAAATTAAAAAAGGCACAATCAAAGATTTACATGATTTAGCAAATTACTTACATCTAGGACAGCGAAGCTCTTCTACCAATAAAAAAAATACCATATAAACATGGAGAATCTAAGGATTATAAGTTCTTTTCCACAAGCTCTAAAACATGATCTTTCTCTCTAGAACACCCACCCAAAAGACTACAAGAATTAATCCTCTTTCCTTTTACATCTCTCTCTCTACAAAAATGGATCTTTCATAAAGAGAAAAATCCAAGAGAGACAAAATACATCAAATCCCTTAAAACAAGAAAAAACATAAGCATTCACATGAATCCTAAACATGACTTGAGGCTGACAATATTTCCCTATATTTTGCCTTTGGTCTCTATCTTTTGCCTTTAGTTCCTAAAGACAGGATAGACAAAGTTCAGGGAAACCATGGCCTATCCTTTTCCTTCACTTCCTACCACTGTTCATGAAATGGCTATAGACAAAGATCAGGAAAACCATGGCTTCTCATATTTCCCTATCTTTTACCTTTAATTCATGTTGCTATATTTGCCTGGTCTCAACTTAGATTACCATGGACATCACTTCGAACCAGTGTTTTGAAAATCGACGGGTGGAACCGGAATTTTGCCCGGCATACCTAAAATCGGTCATATAACCACTCTTTAAAGCTCAATAACTTCGGTCCACCCTTTTGTATTGTCTTCATTTTTCTGCATTTTTTTGAAACTCATTTTAAAATCTTCATCTTTGTGCCCTCTATCAGATTCATAAATAAAATGCTATGTTGTATACACCAATACAATACAAAAATACAATATGAAATTAATCAAACTTCTCTATGCATAAAACAAAAAAACAAAAAGCTTAAGAAAATTTGAATCTCGCACTGAATTCCTAGCCGCCTAAATCTTTAGTATCATTGAATCTCTCTATTGCTCTTTAGAAGGACGCAATGGGTTTAAAGAAAAAAAGAATAGATGTTTCATTAGAGTCCTCTTCTTCTAATTCTGCCTATTATTTTAAGATTTGCTATGGTTTTAATTACCTTTTTTGTAGGAATATATTGCTTGTATTTTTTCGTACATTTTTTTTTAAGGGAACTCGTTGGTAAAAAAAATTATGGAATTTTTTGTAAAATCAAGATTCCTAATTTACTCCTACTGTTAATGTACTTATCTTTAAACCAAAATTCAATAATATTAAGTTAATGAAGCAATCATCTATAGGGAAGAAGTTTTTTGGAAAAGTTTTTTTTGGAAAAAAATAAAATACGGATTTATATCGGTTCCATTAGAAAAACGTGTTTTTTTTAATATCTTTTGAAAAACTTGGAGCTCTTAATGTATTTCAAAAAATCATGTTTAAAACGGAGACTTGCTAACTATTATTAGAGTTACTCTAATGCTAGATTTAGATGCTAGACATTTTCTATTGTTGAACAACTAGATTATGAATGTTTTTCATAGATTTATCATTCTTTATGAAAATATGCATTTTAACTTAGTATGCAATTTTTTCTATTTGAGTATAGTTTTATTTTTCTATTTTCTTTAGTCATAGTTTGTTTTTTCATGCTTTTTCTTGACTTTTCATGAATAATGATTTTATTTATAAGGAAAATTTTTATTTTTATGATTTGTTTGCGCTTTTTCTTGGCTTTTCTCTGCAATTTTATAATTTATTTTAAAAATAAATGCTATATTCATATGTTTGGCACTCGTACATGATCAAAACTCTCAGTATTTAGGTGTTCTCGATAGTATCATCAAAATATATCATCTAGTGGTCAATATTTTGCACAAACCAAAACAATTCTATTTTTAATCATTTCGATGTTTTTTTTAATTCGTTTGGCAATAATGGGGCTCCCTAAAACCAGTACGTTCCACTTGTTATTCATATTCGTCTTGGCAGTTTTGTAAACATTTCTTTTGATGGACAAATTGTTCATGAAAACTTATTGAGATAGGGTTGAGCTTGGGCTAGACTTGCCCAAGCTAGGCCACGATCTGACCACGTAATTGGCCTCGCCGTTTGGCCATGACCCAATCCAATCAGTTTATCCTAGTGTTCGGTTGAACGACTCGGACCGGGTACTCGGCCTAGGCTCGAGCTGAGTACTAGGCCCGATTTGGGCCGAGTACAGTTCAAGTTAAATCATCATCTTCATCGTCAGCACAGTCTTTTTCTAATTAACTAGAGTTGGCTTCATGAATCCTGATCTATTAAAGGCTATGCTCTTAGTGAGGCCATAAGTCCTCGTATCTTTCCGAACTATTTCCAACCACATCCTTTCGGCTTACCCCTTGCCCTTTTAAGTACTTCCACTTGAACTAACTTGCAACTTTTAACAAGTGTTGTACTTGGTCGGTGCCACACATGGCCAGCGTATCTACTTTTTTTCATCTTATTGCCTATTGGTGTGATACCTAAATTTTCATGAATGAATTCATTTCGAATTCTATCCCTTCTTGTCTTGCCACTCATCCATCTCAACATCCCCATCTCCGCTACACTCATTCTATGGGTATATTGGTTTTGTCTGCCCAACATTCAGCAGCCCCATAGAGCAAAGCCAATCTCACAGCCTTCCTATAGAACTTGCCCTTCAGCTTCATTGGTATGCAGCGATCAGATAAAATTCTAGTTGCACATCTCTACTTTGTCTACCCAATTCTAATTATGTGTGCGGTATCTTCCTTAATCTCTCTATTTTTTTGGATTATCGACCCAAGATATCAAAAGTGCGATCTCTTTTTGTACTTTCTAACCGTCGATCCTAATTACTTCATCTCTCTATTACTAAACTTGCATTCCATATACTCTGTCTTAGTCCGATTAATTTTAAAACATTTGGATTCTAGAGCATCCCTCCAATGTTCTAACTTTGTATTGATGTCGTTTGAGGTCTCATTGATCAAAACTATATCATCTACGAACAACATGTACCATGATATCTCATCTTGTAGGTGTCCAGTTAAGTCG